GTAGGGCGTATGAGCCTACTGGTCACTTAAGGGATAGGGTGAATTTTCGCCTGAGGAGGAGTTCCCCAAAAAATAAAGTATGAACCGACCCGCTCTCTGCACCGGGGGGCCTGAATGTGATCCGAAAGGAAGCATGGCCTCTCTGCAGAACCAGTTCCGGTGTCCGCCTATGTTGGGAGCTCGAAGAACCTAAAGGACCTAAAGGATCTGTCTGGGGCTTCTTGAGACCCGCTTGGGAGGTGAGAGGCCGCGCAGGCCCAGGCCCGACACACAAGCGAGATCAAAGATACCTTCATTAGTCAACCACCGAGGCTCGTCACCTGTCCGACCGAGGCTCACTCTTCTGCACAAGCGTGGGGGGGAGGACGGGGGCGAGGTACAGGGGTACCTCGCTCATAAGAAACCGCACCCCCCCTAGGACCACCGTAGGGCCCTAGGCATAGTCCTACTGTAGGGTCCTAGGTGGATGCGGTTTCTTATGAGCGAGGTACCCCTGTAGAGAGATTGGTAATTTATTGCCAAACAACCAGCGTCAGCGCTGCACATGCCGTCCGCATTGTACTACATACTGTACCCCGTGTCGGCCGCTCTTACGAGCTTTTTCCGGATGGATTCTATCTCCACCTCCTAACTGTACCCCCCAACGGCTCAGGCTCATTTCCTGTGAACTTTGTAAAAACTTTTCCGGATGGATTCTATCTCTACCTCCTCTGTCAAGTTCACGGAAAATGAGCCTGAGCCGTTGAGAGGTCCAGTCAGGACGGTGGTCGTAAAGCGCCTCCCTACAGGGGTACCTCGCTCATAAGAAACAACCCCCCCCCCTAGGACCACCCTAGGGCCCTAGGCATAGGCCTACTGTAGGGTCGTGGGGGCACCCCTAGGGGGGGGAAACGTGTGAGACGCAGCTCATTAGTCAACCACCGAGGCTCGTCACCTGTCCGACCGAGGCTCGTCACCTGTCCGACCGAGGCTCGTCACCTGTCCGACCGAGGCTCCTCACCTGAAAGGACCTAAAGGTCCGACCGAGGCTCACAACGTGGGGGGCGTGGCGGTCGTGCTGTTGTTATTCAAGGTGTCTCTTTCCTACAGGGGTACCTCGCTCATAAGAAACCGACGCCCCCTAGGACCCTACATGTACAGTAGGCCCGTGCCTAGGGCCCTATGGTGGTCCTACGGGGGGGACAGTTTCTTCTGAGCGAGGTACCCCTGTAGTGAAGAATTCACATGTCATCCCTCATGCTGAAAGGAATGCAGGGCGTACAGGGGTACCTCGCTCATAAGAAAACGCGCGCCCCTAGGCCCCTACAGTAGGGCTATGCCTAGGGTCCTTTGGTGGTCCTGGGGGCGGGTTCTTATGAGCGAGGTACCGGGTACCCCTGTAAGTGTCGACGGAGCATTGCGAGAGCATTGCGAAAGCATTGCGAGAGCATTGCCTGTGACTGCCAACACAACACGTGGCGGGCGTGTTCGTTCACTTGAAACCGTAAACCCCAGACCCCAAAACCTAAACCTTAAACCCCAAACCCTAAACCCTAAACCCTAAACCCTAAACCCTAAACCATGAACCCTGAACACTGAACACTGAACACTGAACCATGAACCCACCCTGAACCCTGAACCCCAAACCCTAAACCCTAAACCCTAAACCCTAAACCCTAAACCTTTAACCTAAACCCCTAACCCCACACCCTGGACCCTGAACCCTGAACCCTGAACCCTGAACCCTGAACCCTAAACCCTGAACCCTGAACCCTAAACCCACCCTGAACAGTAATCAGAACCCCGAACCCTAAACCCTAACCCCTAAACCCTAAACCTTAACCCCTAAACCCTAACCCCTAAACCCTAACCCCTAACCCCTAAACCCTAAACCCTAAACCATAAACCCTGAACCTACCAAGTTCTTCGCAAACCAAGAAAGCCACTGCACCACCCACTTGACGAACAGCAGAGGGATAGAATTAATTAGGTAAGTGTAACGATAGACCCTTGCGAACAGCCCTTCTTGACAACTTCGTTATTTCGTTATTTTATCCTTTAGGTCCTTTAGGTTTTAAATGCTCCCAACATAGCCCACTTATTGACACTTATTGACTTTATTCGAAAGTGAGAATGCACGGTGCAAGAATTGAGGCGAGGTTAAGAAAACATCTGGGTTCTGCACCAGATTTTTCCTACCCAAGAAACTGCCACTACCCATAAGGAGAAACCACGAAGGAGCTTCCCGCACAAGCCCGGCGAACCGGACAGCGTGTCACTCCCCAATGGCTCCCCGCAGAGCACCCCGTTGCGTGGGGGCCTCTGCCTATTCCAACGACACTGATTACTGATTACTGAATTTATTAAAGAGGGTTCGCCGTTATTGCCTAACCCGTGCCATTACCAGACTATGATCGGTCCATTTTATACCCCGCTCAGTCTGTCTCCGAGGGATGCTCCCCGAAGATTGGCGCGGATGAAGTAACGACGGCGACGAAGGAGAGGTTTGATAGGTCCACGAGTTTTGACAGACTTAACAGCCTGGTCTCATCGATAGACCTATCATTCCGGGCGGGGTCGGGTTCTTGAAAAGGGGAGGAGTTGGATTGGTTAGCCGATCATCCGATCGGTTAGCCAATCCAGCTCGGGTCGGTTCCTTCAGGGAGCCGACTCCTCCATCCGGCTGTATGTGGTTGAATTTACCCCGTGGCTATTCCGCGATGGTTATACCACATTTGACCTTCCAAGACTCATGCCTCCACCTCTCATGGGTTTGACATTCCAGAGAGGCACTTGGTGGGGCATGCCATAAGGTCCTGTGGACCTTCTGAGTCGTCACTTATTGACACTTATTGACTTTATTCGAAAGTGAGAATGCACGGTGCAAGAATTGAGGCAAGGTTAGGAAACCATCTGGGGTCTGCACCAGATTTTTCCTGCCCAAGAAACTGCCACTACCGTGCATGTGATTGTTGGCCGTAGGAAGGCTCGTAACCTTGGCGATGAAGCAAGAAATTCTCGTGTTGACTTTGAAAGCTTAAGTGGCAGTAAACCCCGCGCCACTGAATGAGTGGCGCGGGTTCATCGCCCAAAAATGGCAAAATGATATCTGAATCAGACAAATTGGTGCTTTTCTCGACAATTGTTGTCGACGGCGAGGTTCGAACTCGCGCCTTCCGAAGAAGACCAGCACCTGAAGCTGGCGCCTTGGACCGCTCGGCCACGTCGACGATCCAAACTCAGATGTCAGCAGAGGTCACAATCGCCGTACAAGTCAGAATTGTCACGTGCGGGCACTCCGTGAGCAAAAAGAGGGGTCACTTTAGTACTGGCGCATCCTGGATTAGTACCAGAGCGTCCTAGGGAAACACTGAGTTAGTACGGGGCACGTCCGCACGACTGAAAGGACCCGGAGCAAAAAGGGTTAGAGCAGGGATCTTCGGAGAGAAGAGCTTCGGTTAAAACAGATTTAAACATCGATGATCGACAACTCCAAACCAGATCCCGTGTCGAAACCGTCCAGTGGCAAGAAAAAGGGCTCCAACGGGGTCCGAAAAAGGGCTCCAACGGGGTTCCCGTTGGAGCCCTTTTTCTCCCGAGCCACCAAGTCAAGTGGCGCGGGGTCCAAGTGGCGCGGGGTCAAAATTCAAAAACGGCAAAAAAAGTATCTGAATCAAACAAAGTGGTGCTTTTCTCGACATTTTTTGTCGACGGCGAGGTTCGAACTCGCGCCTTCCGAAGAAGACCAGCACCTGAAGCTGGCGCCTTGGACCGCTCGGCCACGTCGACGATCCAAACTCAGATGTCAGCAATGACTATTCGTGTCTTTCTATACCACCACACAATCTCGAAATCTTTTGCTCTCCGAAGTGAATCAAATGGAGGGTGTAGCTTGAGTTATTTCTCACGGGAGAGAAGTCGACAACGCCTGGATTGTGGGGAAAATGCACTGGTTTGCAACGTCCGTCTGAACCACTTCTGGGAGGGCTGGTCAAGAGCGAGAATTTTTACCTGCAGGAAAGCATGGGTCCTTGCGTTTGGGCCCATGCTTCCATCGACTCCGGGGGGGAAGCAGTGTCTGTCGAGAAGAGCAGAGCAGAGCAGAGCACCGCCCCCCCAGCGGATCCGCTGATCTGTGCTCCGCGCGGTGCCGCGGCAGCGGTGGAGTGTCCCATCGCCTCCTGCCCCCACCACCTCTCCCTCTCCATCCTGCTGGGCTGCAACCTGGGATCAACGCTCTCCTCGGCAGGACAGAGCAGAGATCCCTCTGCAGAGCTCCGCAACGTGGCAGCCTGGGACCTCAGGATGGGGGCCGCGGCATCCTGGGGCCCGTGCCTGCTCGGGAAGGGGGCCACCAGAGCGAGGGCGTGAGAGGTGACGCGCATCGCTGGGCGCTACTTCCTGTGGAACTACGCCCCCCCTCCCTCGACCCCCCTTCCCCCCACACACAGCCCCCATGCCCCCACGGCTGCTGGCACCTTTAGGAGTTGCGGCTTCCCACCACAGGCGGACGCTGGAACTTATTCTGGAGGATGGCCCACAACCCGCCGTGCTCTCGCCAGCCACTCGCACGTCCTGCGGGAGGGTGACTCCTACTCTGAGGATCACCCTCCTGCAGTGCCCGCCTGCTCTCTGGTTCCTCCTCAGAGTAGGAGTCACCCTCCTGCACGTCCGAGGACTCGGACACCGTTGAACCCCCAGGGCCCCCGCGCGCTGCCCCCTCGAGGAGTCCAGGGCAGGAGGGTCGCGGGATCCGGCATAGAACGGTGCTAGGGATCTGCCACCCGGAAGATCGAAGGGGAGTGTGGGTGCGGGTGGAGCGCTGACGAGCGGCGTGGACCTCTCCCTCAACCCGAAACACTCAACACTGAACAGAGAGATTGATAATTTATTGCCAAACAACCAGCGTCAGCGCCGCATATGCTCGACGCATTGTGCCACTTACTGCACCCCGTGTCGGCCGCTCATACGAGCATTTTTCGGATGGATTAAACACTGAACACGAAACCCTACGGTGTGCGTGCAGGAGGGTGCGGGACAGCCCATCGAAGCGAGACGTGCATGAGGTTAGCCCCGCTCTCTCCCTTCGGACACAAGGTGTAGCTCTGTCTCAGTCTGTTTGGGCTCACCAACTTTGTGAGTCACAAAGTTAGGCTCTTGCCCGCTCCAAAGTTGACGGATTTGTACCGTGGTCCTAGAGTGTCAACTTGAAAACAGTCGGTCAACCCGAGTGAGGCAGAGCTAGAACGTGTATCAGTAACGTGTATTCGCTTGCTGGCCTCTCTCTCTTTGCCCCTGCTCAGACACAGCCTCGGTGGGGGCGCATGCCTCGCGGCCGTGTTGGTACTTATCAAGGTCTCTCTCTCTGAGTGGATAAGAATTGCTGGCTCCACGCTCCGTGCTTTGGTGCTTTGGTGCTTTTATTTACACTCACGTCGAAGGCCACATCCCACCTCACTCTTGAGGAGTTGGGAGTAATCTACGGATGAGCTCCTCGACTCTACCCATGCAGTGCAACCTTGCGATCGCCAATAAGTTGACCGGGTTGACTTACAGGGGTACCTCGCTCATAAGAAACGCCCACCCCCCTAGGATCACCATAGGGCCCTAGGCATAGGTCTACTGTAGGGTCCTAGGGGGGGTCAGTTTCTTATGAGCGAGGTACCCCTGTAGATAGCTCCAATAGTTTCCCGAAGTCTCTTGCCTGGCCTTACAGCCATATCCCTTAAGTGACCAGTAGGCTCATACGCCCTACCGTAGGGCCCTAGGACCTGCCTAGGACCTCTTGGCCCTCAAATTTGACTACCTGGCCACTTAAGGGATATCACGCCTGCTACACTCCGCGGGTATCTGGCTCTGCACCAGTCGGATTGGTGACTATTCTCAAGTTGACATGCTGGGTTGTGTGGTACAAATTCATCACTTTTGGGGCGAAAAAGGTCCCGGTCCCACCAGGACGGTGAGACCCAATCAGACTGAGACAGAGCTACAGGGGTACCTCCCTCGCTCACAAGAAACCGCCCCCCCCCAGGACCCAACAGTAGAACTATGCCTAGGGTGCTATGGTGGTCCTAGGGGGGGGGGCGGTTTCTTATGAGCGAGGTACCCTTGTACATGGCGGCCGTGTTGGTATTATCCCTTAAGTGACCAACGGGCGAATAATCGCCCGTGGAAGCCATAGGCAGGTCCTAGGGCCCTACGGTAGGGCGTATGAGCCTAATGGTTACTTAAGGGATACAGGGGTACCTCGCTCATAAGAAACCGCCACCCCCTAGGACCCTACAGTAGGCATATGCCTAGGGCCCTATGGTGGTCCTAGGGGGGTGGGCGTTTCTTATGAGCGAGGTACCCCTGTAGGTCTCTCGCTCGCCTTGCAACCCGCTTCATTCATCCAATTACTCTCGCGAGCATCACTCTCGCGAGTCGAAATCATGGCTGCCAAGAGTTTCATCACTTCTTCTTCTTCTTTATTACTCTCGATACAGGTCCTAGAAAGGCCCTTTAGCCTTGAGTTGAGTGATACAATGTCTGTGAGCCTCAAGAGAGTTTCATCACTTGCGGGATTTGTGAATCCCTCAAATGCCTCGAGTCACCTTACATGTCATCTCTCTCCACTCAGAGAGAGAGAGAGACCTTGGCTTTTCTGCAGAACCAGTTCCGGTGTCCGCCTATGTTGGGAGCTCGAAGAACCTCAAGGACCTCAAGGACTAAAGGATGCTTGCGGCGTGTCGTTCAGCGGGCCCGTCAGTGGGCCGTCCTCACAGGATGGGAACACGCCCCGGGCTGTGCCGTGATGAGTTTATTCCCCCACAAGGCGGATCTCCTTTTATCCCCCAATATCCTAAAGTCTACATAAATGACTTATGTTCTCCGCTAAGGCGGGCTCGTCCCGAGACGGTCCTCACACCGTGCCTGGTCCTTTAGGTCCTTCAGGTTTTAAATACTCCCAACATATGCCAACGACACGCCGTTCCGTAGAAGGGATCTGCAGAGAAAGCATGTTTGCTTTCGGATCGCGGCCAGCGAGGTACAGGGGTACCTCGCTCGCAAGAACCCTCCCCCCCCCCCTAGGACCACCATATGATCCTAGGCATGGTCCTACTGTAGGGTCCTAGGGGGGGTGGGTTTCTTATGAGCGAGGTGCCCCTGCACCTCGCTCACAAGAAAGCGCAACCCCCTCGGACCCAGGCCTATGCCTAGGGTCCTATGGTGGTCCCTATGGGGGTGGCGGTTTCTTATGAGCGAGGTACCCTTGTAGTGCCTTACGGTGGTCCTAGGGGGGGGGCGGTTTCTGATGAGCGAGGTACCCCTGTACCCCTGTGGCTGAAGGAGGAAGGAGGAGTGTGAGGACTGGGTCCCGGCCGTGGAGCCCTTGTCCGTTGAGGAAAAGGGCTCCAAGGGCTCCAAGCCCGTCCAGAGCATTGGAAAGCTAAACGCGATCCGAACGCATATGCCTTAAGTGGCCAGCCGGTCAAATTTGACCTCCAAGAGGTCCTAGGCAGGTCCTAGGGCCCTACGGTAGGGCGTATGCGCCTACTGGCCACTTACGGGATATGCTTTCCCTGCAGATCCTTTCTACGGCAGGGCGTGTCGTTGGGCTATGTTGGGTGTGAGCCTCGGTCGGACAGGTGACGAGCCTCGGTTGGACAGGTGACGAGCATTTAAAACCTCAAGGACCTCAAGGACCTAGTCCTTCCAACAAGAAGGGAGGGACGAAGGGCGTGTCGTTGGCATATTCATAGGCTAACGGCCTGAAAATGGGGTAGTTAGGCATACGGCATTGCCTAGGACCTCCTACCGTAGGCCGAGGGATCCTACGACCAAAAAGTCTCGGCCTACGGTAGGAGGTCCTAGGCAATGCCGTAGGCGTAACTACCCCATTTTCAGGCCGTTACCCTATCAGTTTGGACGCGCACCTAACCCCGGACGGCTACCCGTGGGTACCAGGTCCTTTAGGTTTTAATTTCGCCCAACATAGCCTAACGACACGCCCTTCCGTAGAAAGGACTGCATAGAAAGCATTTTTGCTTTCGGATCGCGTTTAGCTCTCCAGTGCAGAGGCTCGTGAAGAAGGGATGGAGGTACTAGGTACGCGTCCAAACATCGACCTCGGCATTCGTAGTACCCGGATCTGAAATTGCATTCGTAAAGCAACTCGTGCTGGTACAAATAGTAAAATCCAAAGACTTCGAAACTCAATTCTTTTGTAAAAGCCCCCGAGTTTTGAAAATTGAACCAAACAGTTGCTTTACGAATCTGATTTCAGATCCTTTCACTATTAACATGCAACCAGCCCTCGATGTGAGAGCAAATCGTCTTCTTCCATCCCGTGATTTGTGTTGGAGGTCATCGGATTCCAGCGACCTGTGGTGTAAATCAGGGGAAGAGGAAGAGGCGATTTGCTCCCACTCCCACTTGGAGGGCTGGTGGTGCTCCCGCTGCAAATATGATCCTCAACCTTGAACACCAAACCCGAAAGGAACCAGGGCTTTCCTGCAGAACCAGTTGCAGTGTCCGCCTATGTTTGGAGCTCGAAAAACCTCGAGGACCTAACGGAACCCACTGTCTCCATCCACCTCTCTACACTGTCTCATTCCTCTTGATTTATCTTCCCCACTGTGCCCAGCCATGCTTCAGTTCCCTCACTAGGAAGGTAGATACAAGGCTACCGGGAAAAGGGAATTCAAATACCCATGGCGCGAGGCCGGTCCACTAAAATCATTTGAGCCGTGGTGAGTGGATCCGGACAAGATGGTCGTCAATAAAGAACTCTCTCTCTGCCTAGGCCA